TCAGGCTCTCCCCGCAAAAGTCTCTGGTTCGAAACCAGCCCATCCCTTCTTACTGTGGCTCCCCTTGGTGCCCCGGTAAGCGCATCTCCTGCTACTATACTGTGTCTGGGAAAAGTTCAGCTCCCCTATGACGGAGGGTTGTGACGTCAGCTCAGAATGCAGCTGGGTGTCAGCCTCGGGAAGGGAGAGGAGTCGAGTCGGGTTGGAGGCCTGTCGCTGGGCCTCTGGTGCCCTTGGTAGGTGGCAGATGGAGTCGGCGCTTCCTGCTGCCTCCCCTGTGTGACCTGCCAACGGTAGAAGCGAGGCAGGGATGGGACAAAGGAGGAAACTCAAGCTGAGGGAGGCAGGGCAGTAAGTCAGCGCCACAGCGCGACTCACTGGGCTTAGCAAAGCGCCACCCTTTGTGCTGCCAAAACCTGTGGGGTGCGGCTGGGTGCGGGGAGGCAGAACGCTGTGCCTGTCGCATGGTATCCCGGGAACGGCTACTGCATCCCAGGAGAAGAGGGGGGTTCTGGGTGAAAAGGAAACCGGCAAAGCTGTGTCCCAGTGGGCATGAGCCGGCGCTCTCTTTGGCCCAGCTGGGTGGGCGATGGTGGACTTCATGGGCTCCCCGCCAGTTTTTATTGTTATTCGTGGCTTTGATTGTGGGGTGGGGCTGGCTGTGAGCAACAGGGACCCACGAAGCCCCCACCTGCCCTGCCGGCGGTGCAGTCTGAGGAGCGCATCCTAGAATGGAATGTTTGGGACCGGACCCAGCGCTATTGGCTGCCCAGCTGTTCTCAGACTCTCCTGGACAGGCTGGTGCAGCCTTTCACCCGCAGGCGGCTCCCAGGCCCGCTGCCCTTATCGCTTCTCCACAGCGGCTGTGTCCCCGGGACTCCCTCTCCCTTCCCTTGGCTTCCTCAGCTCCCGGCTCCGCAGCGCTTCCCGCCAGCCGGACACTGCACTTTCCAGGCCCGATCCTGTGGATTTCAGCCTCCAGGCTGCGGTCGAAGGCCCCTCCCTGCAGGAGAAAGGGAATTTCCTTCAGGCAATACCCCCACAATCTAGGAATGGGGGTGTCGCTCCTGGCACACCCAGGATTCATTGGGCTCCTAGTGCACAAGAACCGTTAGAACCCACCTGTCCGGGCACCTGCGCTCTCGGGGTAAAAGCCTGATGCTCTGCCAGCTGCGCTAATGAGTAACCGTAGAAAAGGTTCCAGGCTACTGGTAGAAAGGCGAAATTTTTCGCACGCAGCAACGGGACAGAGCCACAAGGGGGCAGCAAAGTGTCACGTGGAAGCACGAAGCGTTTCTTCCCGCAGACTGACCCTGGGCACAGGCTCCGGGAATTCCCACCCCAAGCGCCGGATTGTCCCAGGGAGGGTCCGACCGCTCCGCCCCTTTTCCCGTCAGCACAAGGGCAGCGCCCAGGGCCCCTCGGAGGGTTTGGCAGCCACAGCGCTCGAGCCCATTTCACCCGGGCGGGGGGAGCCCTCGGTTCTGTTCTGTCAGTTTCCTTCATCTCGCCTGTTACATTTTCATTCACAATAGGAGATCTTCCTGCTGAGTCCCCCAGTTAACTCCGAGCTCAGACCCATGTCCACGTGCTTCAGTGTCTGCTGGATCGGGATTCGTGTGTTTAGTGCCCGCCAGGACCGCGCCCCGCTCAGTTCTCCCGGCGTCTATTGGTACAGGCGGGTGACGCTGAGGTTTAGTCAAATGACGAGGCGGTGCCAACATGCAAATGAAGAAGGAAAGTGACTGATAAGGCCATGAAGCGGCCCTTCCTGAACAGCTGCCGGCAGAGGAAGGGTCGCTAGTTCCCAGGCACGGAACTGAGGCTGAAAATGCTCTGTCTGAGCCTCTTTTCCTTGTTAGCAGCTCTCTCGGGTAGGTGGATGAACGCACCGGCATCAGCTCAGCACAGCTGGGCCAGGGGAGGGAAGATGGTTGTAAGCTAGGCCAAAGCGGTGCGGGTCAGGATTGTAAATTCTCTAGCCTTAAAGAAAGCGCATAAATTGAGATTTTGAACCGTCAAAAAGATTTTAATACCCACGTTATCATTTGTAATGGGAACTGGGTATCCAAAAACTCAGAGAGCACACTAAAAATCTTCCTGCCTCAGTTTCCCCCTTTCAAAACGGGGATAACTGTACCTCCCTACAACACTGGAGGGTAATGCAGGTAAATTCCTTTTGACGCACAAGCTGATCGGCTTCTGCTGCGAGGAGAGGAACAGAGGATCTTGGGTAAACCTGGGAAGGTGGGGACAGACGGGAATTAACTGTGTTTTTATGATTAACAGGTGCCAGCTCCCAGATCCAGCTGACCCAATCTGGGGCAGAAATCAAGAAGCCTGGAGAGTCTGTGAAGCTGACATGTAAAACCTCCGGCTACACATTTACCGACTATTGCATCAACTGGGTCCGGCAGACTCCCGGGAAAGGCCTGGAGTGGATGGGATACATCTGTCCTAGCGATGGCAGCACTAGCTACGCCTCGGCTTTCCAGGGGCGAGTCACCATGACCAGGGACAACTCCATAACCACGGCCTGGGTGCAGCTGGGCAGCCTACGAGCCGATGACACCGCCACGTATTACTGCGCTCGGGACACAGTGACACAAACCGCAGCTACAGCCCTTCACAAACCCCAGTGAGAGAACCCAGGGCTCCTGCTAATTCCTCACTCACCCGGGGCAGTGATTGCCCGTGTGAACCCGGGTCATTACTGCCAGTGACACAGAATCAGAGACAGTTAAAGGGATTTAGAGCCCTAAGTACCTAAATCACTTTCCAGGGTACGAGACAGTTCCTGGGACACAGTCAGCTCCAGCTGGAAGGGACCGGAGCCATCGCAGCCGCTGGAGAAGCTGGATGTGGGGGGAGCAAGCGGCAGGAAATGTGGGTCTGTCCCAGGACCGGATCCGCCCCCGGGACCCTGCCCCCGGCGCTCACCCACAGCTCCAGCGGGGGAGGGGCCCTGGCTGCTGACGCCTTTTAGCCAACCCCGCCGCGAGCGAGGGGCCCTGCCAGTCACAGGCTCCTGGAACGCGCCTGCGGGCGGAGAGCGAGCCCGAGACAAAGGGCGCTACTCGGGGAGGGCTTTGCAGGGAGGGCAGAGCGGGGAGGAGCGGTGCGGAACAGAACAGCCGGGCATTGGTCGCTGTGAGTTCCAGCCAGAGGCAGCCCCGAGAAAGGTGTCGCTGACTCTGGGTTTCCAGGCTCCCTTCGTACCGCCAGCAGGGCCACAAGGGAGATTTGGTTCCAATTCTGGTTGCTCAAGTCGAGACACTTTTAAAAAGGCGGCTCCAGGTGGGGGCCCCTCCTGCCTCAGTTTAGTCGCTTCTTGCGGCACAGAATTAAAACTCGAGCAGTCAGGCTGGGAGGCGGCTAAAGCCAAGAGCCCCGTTCCGTTGTGTCAGCCTCCGGCCAGGGGGTCTCAGATCTAGTCTCTCAGTTTCTGTCCTAAAAACTCTACCGGCTTCAGTGACATATTCCTGCAATAATCGCACCCACCTGTCAGCCACGAGCAGGAGACACCAGCTGACCAGCAGGGGGAGCCCACGAGCTGCAAATACTGGACAATTCGCCCGTCAAGACATTTTCAGGGGACTTAACTACAGGACTGTCCCGTTAAAAACGGGGCGGGTGGTCACCCAGTTTACAGGAAATGTATTATCTGGAGGGGGGATAAATTCAAGTGAATGCGGCAGGCCGTGCCAACAGGGGGCGCCCTAAGGCAGGGTGCAGAGGCAGAACAACAGGCAGCCAGTAAGAGACGAGGCAGCTTGTGTGTGATAGAGGGGTCAGGGTGCAGGGGGTGAGTCAGAGGTTTGTGTCACCGCTCCCCATGGGCACCCTAAAGAAGATTCCTCAAGGGGGGGCTGGGGCAGGGTGTAGAGGCAGAACGACAGGCAGCCAGTAAGAGACCCGGCAGACTGTGTGTGGTATAGAGGGGTCAGGGTGTGTGGGTGAGTCAGAGGTTTGTGTCATTCCTCTCCATGGGCACCACAAAGAAGGGTTCCTCAGAGCGGAGATTTCAGGCTGCGGTGCTGAAGCCCCAAATCCCGGCACCTGCTGCGGGGCTGAAAAGTTGATCCCTGCCAGCCCCTTCCATGCTGAATTCCCAGCGCCCCCCAGGCTGAAGCCCCGAACCCGATGCAACCCCCTGAGTTTCCAGCACTTCTCCAGGCTGTATCCGTAATCCGCAGAGCCTTCTGAAGTCACAGTACCCGCTCTCCCATTGAAGCCCTTATCTGTGGCGGCCCCCTGAATCGCCAGCACACACTCATCCTGTTGAAGGCCCAGTCCCTGCCCTCTCCCATCTCCCAATCCATGAATGCTGCGGCCCAAGCTGGAAGTGGCAGGGCTCAGTCCTGCAGGCCCAGTGCTCCCTGTAGGGGAGAAGCCTCCAGAGCCCATGGGCAGAGTTGCGGGGCTCTCTAGCAAGCGCAGCTCAGTCCCGGGAGAGCTCCACAGCTCTCTGGCTCCCTGGGACCGGCCAGGTCAGAGGCAGGAGCAAAAGCCACTGGAATCGCTCCCCCGTATGCAGTAAAATCTCCTGTAGTGAAAGTGCCGCGTGTTGATCAGCAGGTGGCGCTGTTGCTCCAAAGGGACCGACTAGCCCAGAGAAGAACCCCCGCCCCGCCCCGCCCGCACATAGATCGATGCGCTCCCGAAGGCCTTGGGAATGTGAAGAAGCCCGGAGACTCTTTGCGCCTCTTCTGCAAAACCTCCGGCTTCACCTTCAGCAGCTACTGGATGCTCTGGTTCCGGCAGGCTCCCGGGAAGGGGCTGGAGTGGTTCGCCCAGATTCACGGCTCGACCACATACTACAGCGACTCGGTAAAAGGCCGATTTACCGTCTCCAGAGATGACCGCAGAAGCCTCCTACACCTGCAAATGACCGGCGGGAAGCCCGAAGACACCGCCCGCTATTACTGTGTGAGACACAGCGAGGGGAATCCTGACAGGCTTGTAGAAATAAAGTGATTTAGACTCTAGGACAAGAGTTTATGCTTATTTGGTGGGGGGGGGGGGAGAATACCACCTCAAGAAAATGGTTTTCCCAGGGTGAGGCCTATCCATTGCACTGCGGGTGCGTTGATCCCTGCGATTTTTTCCAATACTGGAAACTCGACTGCGCAATTTGTGGTAGTGGGGGATTGCGTGCGCGCTTTCCCCTGATATTATTGGTGAAAGAAAAATAGTCTTGGTCCGTGAAACAAACATAGTCCTGTTAGTCTGGTGTAACTAAAACAAAAAAACAGGGCGATGTAGTTCTTTAAAGACTACTTAGTAAACCATCTTGTTAGTCTTTAAAGGGCTACATAGTCCTGTTTTTTGTTTCAATCTTGATCTGGTTATAGAGAAACAAACCAGAGCTGCGGAACTTCCCGCGACTGCAGCACCGGGCAGCAGAGACACGCGCAAAACCGCCCTGCCGGGGCGCAGAACTGCCTAGGGCCCTCAGGATGGAATGCTCTGACGTCACGGGTTAACTCTTGTCCTCAATACGCCCTGTGACGTAGTTGGGGTACCTTGCTGGTTGCTATGCTGGGCGGTGGGCTGTGGGTGACTCCCACTGGCTGCTGTCTTTAGCAAGGCCCAGCAGGGCAGGCGATGAGTCATTATGCAAAGGGGGCTTCGAACCTGTCTGACCAGTTCTCTCCGGGACAGGAACAATAGGAAGAAGGTGGAGAGGAGCCCCTGGCTTCGGGGCAGGGCTGGAAGTGAGTTAGTTAGGTTTCTGGCTGGTATCATGGAGGAAGCAGCCTAGGCAACAGACTGCGGTTCAGGGGCCCAGTCTCCCCCATCTCCAGAATCACAAGAGGCCCCCCCCCCATCAAGGGAAGGCTGAGGCATCCTAGGCCTGCCCTGTAACTCCCCCCCATCAAGGAAGGGCTGAGGCATCCTAGGCCTGCCCTGTAAGCAAATTACATCTGTGCTGTATCCTGGGGAAGCAATAAACCTCCTCTAGTCTACTGGGTGGTGGAGTCTGTTCGTGCCACTACGGGGGTTCAGGAGACGGGGAAACCCCAACGCGTCGTCACATACCCCCTACCTCTTTTCCAAGTGGGAAGAAAGATGCGGTTTGTGCGGTGCAGGGACAATCCTGGAAACTGACTTCCAACCACGAATAATCAAACCTCCTGTCCCCGATGCCTCACAGGCAAAAAGAAACGGTCAAGTTACATGAACCTTAAGGAAAAAGAGCGAAATAGTTCCCACGCTCACCAATGGGACAGAGCCACATGAGGGCAGCAAAATGCCACGTTTGAGCACGAGGCTGGAATCCGGAGTTAAAATTACTAGGTCACCTTCAAAAAAGGGTGTCTGGCCAGGGGCTGGAACCGACATCCTGGTGCCTGTTCCAGGTTACACCCCAACACCGCACACCCAACGTGACCCAGCTCCAGTGAATGGAATGAAAGCGCTCGGAGCCCATTTAACGTGTCACAAACTCTCCTGCCTTCATAAGGTTATCGGGAAAAGAACAGCTGGCAAACTCTCCAGAAACGGAGCCCCTTGTCCTTGGGAATATCAGGTTGAGATTTGGGGATCTGGGCGCCAAGAGCCCCCTTAATAAGGCAATAGAAACATTTAACCGCCCACCTAGCTACCTACCTCTGCCTCCAATTGATAATTAATGACCAATAAGCAGACGTCAATATTCAATAAGGGTTGAGTTTGGGATGCATCAGGGATAAGTGTTTGGGGGTTGGAACAGGGAGTCCCAAGGAGCAAAACTTGATTTCTTCGGCGCCTGCTTTGCTCACACGAATAAACCAGACACTAATGAGACAGACTGGAGCGGGGTGAGAGAGTTTAAGTCACTCTGGGCTTTTGTGTTTTCATCCTTTGTAGCGACGGAGCAAAGTGTGTGTGTGTGAGAGTGAGAGAGAGAGAGAGAGAGAGAGAGAGAGACCTGTCCAGGAAGCCAGAGGGGCTTTTTGATCGGCTCCTTCTAGCTCCTCCCTTGGGCGCTGCCTCCTTATGCAAAACCCCGCTCCCGGTTCTGCACTAAAGTAGTGGCCCCCGGCCGTGTCCTCAGGCGCCGAGCTGTCCCCTCCTCGTGCACCATGAACTCCCCGCTCCTCCCACTGCTCCTCCTAGCCCTGACCTCGGGTGAGTCTCGGCGGGAGGCGGCGCGGGCTGAGAGAGGAGGAAGGCGGGTTTGAGTCTGACCGATCCCTGCTTTTCCCAGGTGCCCTGTCCCAGCTCCAGCTCCAGGAGTCCGGCCCGGGCGCGGTGAAGCCCGGAGAGACCCTCACACTCACCTGCTCTGTCACCGGGGGCACCGTCACCAGCAGCAACTACTGGCACTGGATACGGCAGGCCCCGGGCCAGGGGCTGGAGTGGATGGGATACTGGAGCGGGGGCACGAGCTACAACCCGTCCCTGCAAGGCCGCATCGCCATCACCGTGGATTCCTCCAGCACCAAGTATTATCTGCGGCTCAGCTCGCTGACAGCTGCAGACACCGCCACGTATTTCTGTGCCAGACACAGTGACACGGAGCGAAGCAGGCACCGGCACAAAAAGGGGAAGCGGATTCGGAGCAGGGCAGTGAAGCCAGAGCAGCGGGGAGCCCTTCCCCTCCCCACAGGGACACTGCCTGGGTTGGGACCCTCCGGCAGGGAGCAGCAAGAACCCACCCACCCAGTGGCACGAGGAGGATACCGGAATGGGACCTCCCTGATTTAAATCCCCTGTTCCTTAGGACACAGACTCATGGGACTGGAAGGGGCCCAGAGCGGAAATCCTGACCAGACGCCTGCACTCGAGAGGGATCAGTGTTATCGACACCGTCCCTGACAGGTGCCCGTGGCCGCATTTGGGCTGGAACTAGCAAAACTCTTAATCCGGGTTAGATCTGCAAAGAGCCGCCAGCCTTCCGTTCACACACAGAACTGGTTTGGAATTGACTGCAGCGTGTCGGGGCTGGGCTGCTGGGTAAATCGGACTCTGGCGGTGACAAGGGGAGCTGCTGTGCGCTGGGACATGGCTGAGCTCCGGCCCTCCGTCAGGTGGGGACATAAGAGCGCAGACTTGTGTAGGTCTGGCCGCCGCTGTGGGGCGTGAACCCTGCGGGACCTGGCTCCGGGCCGTTCGATTGTAACTTTATTCAGCACTCAGAGAATGTTTTAAGCAATACCACCCAGAAACTTTCTGTAACTACAACTTTTATTATTATACAAAATACTGTATGAATGTATGAGAGAGTGCTTGGATGATGAGTGAATGGTTCTGAGAGGTGCCAGCCTGAGAATACAGCAACAAAGGGCTGAAGAAGGCGTCAGGTGCCAGTGCAACCAAAAGGTGTCAAGTGGAGAAACTGGAGGTCCACCCGATGAGATCACTGATGAGCACCTGGCAGCCACCCTGGAGACATCAGCATGATGCAGCAATTCCCATACACTGGCATAGGAAGAAATTCCTATAAGAACTGGACTAAAAAAACTATGGAATCAGAGTCCAAGGTTCTGCTGCCAGCCCACCAGGAGCTTCAGATGCGCATCTGATCAGGACTTCGCTCCCCACTACTATCACTTGAGTACAGAGTACCTGGCCAGTATTCTGTCACAAGCAACTTCCAGGCTGGTAACTATACACAGAACTTGAATGAATGGATGTATGAATGAATGGTTATATATACATATATATAAAAGTGTATAAGGGTTAAGTAGTGATAGGAATAAGTAGTTAAACAACGTTGTTTGCTTCTATCTTTTCTTTATTTTTTATTATTATCTTTACAATAAATGTGGCTTTTTGCCTTATCCCCTCATAAGATCTTGCTTGCTTTTATTTGGTATAACATTTTGGTGGAGAATGCGAAAGGGGGAATATTGGTAAAGAGCCCCAGGTATTGTGGACATTGGTGTGCACACAGCTGACTCTACAGAGAGCAGTTCTATTTTTTTTTCTTTTTCTCTCTTTTTTTTTTTTTTTTGGTTAACCAAAGCCTGCTGACCTCCAGAGGGTAGAGGCTTCACAAAAGAGCTCATAGTAAAAAGAAGCTATAATTATTGAAATAATTTAGGCTGTGTAAGAAGCTATGATTATTCATTGGAATAATCTAGGGTGTATAAGAAGCTACAATTATTAAAATAATTTAGGCTGTAAATAGAAGCTACGACTATTAAAATAATCTAGGCTGTGTAACTAGAAGCTACAATTATTGAAATAATCCTGGCAGGGCTCAGTGTTATATAGACTGGTTCCCTTTGCCGCAGCTGGAGCTGGAAATAGCAAAACTCTTAATCCGGGTTGAAGGCCCGATCTTCCATTCACACACAAAACTGATTTCATTGCCGGGTAAATCAGGCCGTGGCGGTGACAAGGGAAACTGCTGTGCGCTGCGACATGGCTGAGCTCGGGCCCTCGGTCAGGTGGGGACATGGGAGCGCAGACTTCTGTAGGTCTGGCCTTGCTGTGGAGAGTGAGTTCTGCGGGACCTGTTCAGAGACCGTGGTTCTTAAGGGGATGAGACGATCCGGGTCTGTTCGCCCTCCGTAATCCGGCCCTGGCTTCGCGCACTCAAATACTCGCACCACGTGTCTGTTCCCACGTGCTCATGTCATACGGTGTGTGACAGACACAGACAGACAGACCCTCCTCCCTTCTGCGATTTCCCAGCTGCCCATTGGCCTGCGGGCAGAGGAACCAGCAGCAGGACATTCTGTGTCCAGCCGGACTCTGGAACCCCCCTGCCAGGAGACAGAACAGCGCGACGCTGCGTCACACCCGCCTGGGTCCCCCCGTTCTACTGGCCCCGCCCCCGGCCCATTTCCTTTCAGCTCACAAACAAACAAACAAACAAAACCCTTCACCGCTGTAGGGAGGGTGACTGTGTGTATCCGATAGCGACGCTGAGCAATGGCTGGGAGGGGCTCAAAGAGAGACTCCTCCTCCAAAGGAAATCCCCGCCTCCAAAGGAAGTGGGGCGCTGCAATTCCACTGCCGGGGGACCCTGTTTGAGGAAGTTGCACAAAGGGATCTGACTGACTGGGATTCTCAGAGCGACTAGGGGAGTTAGGCGCTCAGGTTTAATTGACATGGGGCAGGCAGCTCTCTAAACACCTTTGAGGCCTTTTTTTGAAAGAAGTAGCCTCCCTAAATATCGCCAGCAAGCCCCACAGCATCCACACCCCTCTGACCACGGGGTCCCTCCATCCTCCCT